TGTACCCTCTTACTCAACAATTCCTTTTCTAGGAATTTGCCCAAAGAAGGAACTAGAAAATTTTGTAAAAATAAGGTTAAGAGAAACATTCATTGAAGCACTGTAAACCACTTAAATGTTCACCTAGTTAAATGTAGACTAGTTATAAAATTAGGACACATTAGTGCCGTAGAGTGGAATACTTATACAGCCTTTAACATTACTGTGAAAACAATCTAAAAGTATAAAACTAGGGAAATGTCTATATCCTACCACTGAGAGTTTTTTTTAACAACTGCTAAAAAAGGTATAATATTTGAACTAATTTAAATATTTTTTTAAAGTATAATTATACAAATTTGAGTGACAAAAAAACTCTTGGAATGTTGTCACCTCGGTATGGATGAGAGACTTAAGAGGCTACAGGAACCAACTAGTATGTAAAGTGTAAAAAGAAAGGTTACTCAGAAGGTATACAATTATGTTAAATTGTATTCTTGAACAAAAATGTCTGGAAGAGTATTTCCCCAAATGTTATCGATGTTTATCTTTGAGTAGTGGGATTACTTTTGCCTTTATATTTTTCATTTTTTCAATTTCCTACAATGAACACTTTTATCACGGGGGTGGAGAAGAGAAGCTATTTTCATTTTTAAAAATCCACAGGAAGATGGAGTTTTTATCTGATGGGCAAGTGTCTTCACAATACAAGCAAAGTCAACAGCAGAGTAGGAGGGAGAGATCTGAAGAATGAGAACAAGGTAAGAGACAGTCATTTGGGGGAGCAGGTGACCAAGGGTCCCCCAGCAGTGCTGAGGGCCTGGCACAGGCTGATGATTCTTAACTGGCTTGGTTGTCTGACCCTGAACTACATGGTCAAAGAATGGCGGTGTCTGGACCCATCGCAGCGAGGGTGGTGGGGTACTCAGCAGAACTGCCCAGGGAGGTAAGAGCATTTCCCAGAGAGATAATGGTGACAGATTCAGGAATCAAAGTGAGAAAAAGAGCAAGCAAAGATCGGAGGAAACTGTGTGTGGGAGCGGGGAGAAGGAATTTGAAGATTCACGAGGTCAAAGATTTTTTGCAGTGGGATTATTTAAGCAAGTGAGCAAGGGGAGGAAGCTTGACAAGTTGTGAACAGAGAACTTGATGCTGGAATTCGTGACTTCAGAGGTGGACGTTCTGGCGAGAGCTGGGGTACAGCCACGTAACCGAGTAGCTGAGGTTCAAAACACTGACCCGAATCACAGAACCTCTCCCCCCGCTTAACACGTAACACTCTCATCCCCACACTTCGGGCCCTGGAATTAATGACCTTCAGGTATGTGACTGGAATCTCCCTTTCCTGCCTCATTTTCCCACTTCGCGCCCTCCAGATCCTAGGCTCTAGGCAAACTGAATTATGAACTTTCCCATCATCTTGTCTTTGTGCACAAGATTCCCCTCTCCTGAGCTCCTGAAACGCTCACCCTCATCTGTGACATTACACATTTTCCCTGTCCTTTAGGCCCGAGCTTGAAAGGCTCAACCTCCGTAGATTCCCCCAAACTCCCTGTGGATTCACAGCCCTTCATGCACACCGCTCTTAACATACTTTCTATTTTTTTGTCTTTGTACTTGTTTGAGCCAACTTTATCTGACTCCTTGAGTTGATTAAGATTAGACCACACTTAAAGCAATTTTCTACTCTATTTTCAAACATTGCATCCTAGAGATTACTCACCGTGTTAACTGCCTAAGCGTTTCCAAAGTGTGATGTATACGATTAGTTGAGGTGGGTCACAGCCAAACTTTTTTTTAATAGTTGGATATTTCTTTTAACGTGTATTAGGAAAATACTGTCTTCCATTCATGATATTAAGTAAAATGTTTTCTTTTTAAAATAAGTGTGTTTAAGCTAAACAAAAGCAAGTTTTCAAAATAGTACAGGAGTTGCACAGGTAGGGAATTCATGGTTATACTTACCTGTCTGGCAAACACTGCCCTGAATGAAAAAAAGGCTAGAAAACCAAATCACAGTACTCCCTTCTTCAGAAATGGTTAATAGTCCACTGACAGTCTTCTAGCATATAAATACAATTGCCCATTTAAAAAACAAACAAAAAAACCCAAAAACCTGTCCCTCGCTCCCTAGCTGTTGTCCTGAAGTGCTGGTCTATGGCCCCGAGGCCACTTCCTGACCCTGCCCCTGCAGTTCACTAGACTCACAGCAAAAAGGCTTCCGCCCCCACCATTGGCCAGAAACTGCTCTTGAAATGATCAATTATCTACTGATGAAACCAATGAACAGCGTTCTGTCCTGTCATTCCTTCACCTCTTGTACCAAGTCCTCCACGTCTCCCCCTTAAACATTAGAGTTCCCCCAATCTTTTACTATTATGACGAATATAAAAGGAATGAAAAAGTAATGTTTGTACTCGGCAAAAAAAAAAACTGAAAAAGTACAGGAGAAACCAGAGAGTAAAAGATTTTTGTCTATTTTTCCAGAAAAAAAAAAAAATTCTGTACGAATATATCCTCTCATTCTTTCACAAGAATGTTCTGCATCTTGGGTTTTGGTTCCATTTGGTTTTGTTTTTATTTAAAAGTGCATCTTGGAAATCTTTCCATATCATCTCTTGGCACATGTCTATTTAGTTTTTCTAATGGCTGTAAGTTTTCCTCCACTAAATGAATGTATTGTAAACTTATTTAACTAGTTCCTTGCTGATGCCCATTAGGTAGCACCTAAGTTTTACACAACTATAAATATCGTTGCAGTAAATATTCTTAATATATGTAAGATTTTTAAAATTCCTCTAAGTGGAATTTAGATCAAAAGTATTGTTTAATTTTGCGTCATCAAATTACCCTCTGCAAAAGTTAAAAGAATGTCTATCCCCATCATGCATAAGACCGCCCGTTTATCCTCACTTCTGCCAACACCGAGTCAATGAAATTTTTCTGGCCAGTCTGTAAATTAAGAAGTGAGATCTCATAGTCCTTTTGACTCACATTTCTTTAACACATGGAGTATATTTCTTATATTTGTTTAAATGCTTTATATTCTTTTTCTGAAAACTACATCCTTTACTCATTTTTCTATCAGGTATTCTCAACTCTTTCTTACTGATTTATAAGAGCTCTTTGTATATAAAAAAAAATTATATAATTTGTTCTACGAATTCATTTGCCCCAAGGCAGTCTTTAGCACCACAAATAGCTTCTATTCATAGGTATATCCTGAATGGATGACTCCAGAATCTAACTGTAGCCAGCTCCAAGTTCCCTTTGGTGATTATCTTTCACCTATTATGAAGCTATAACTCATGTGTTTAAAGTTAGCACATGTAGGACTGAATTCATCTTTCACCAGACATGCTCTTCCTCTTCTCTGTCTGGGTTATTTGATCACTCATCCAGAAATTTCACCCAGAAATCTAAGTCATCATTTGTTTCTTACCTCCTACATCCCGGTGACCCAAAAGCCTGAAATACTTTACCCAAATGACTGCAATGACCTCAAGTTGATGACTACTGACAATTTCACAGTGGTTAGAGCACAGGCTGCAGTCAGACAGAACAGGGTTTGCATCCTGGCCCTGACCATTCCAAATTATAGGACCTAGGGTGAATTTCTTACCCAAAACCTGTTGCCCCTCATCTGTAAAAACTAGTTATAACATCTACTTTATAGGATTATTGCACGGATTCGGTGAGATCGTACAGTATGTGGCATAGAATACTCAATAAATTGGTAGGGATCAGGTCAGCACTCTAGCTTCACCCACTCTTCCAAATCACCCTGTTGCTGCAGCCAGACTAACAAATCCAGCCGTCCCGTCCCTTCTTGCTTCGAATCCTTCAGCGACTCCTCCCTCCCCCCAGTGGGGTGTACAAGGCCATTCACATGGCCCAGTTATCGTTCACCATCTCGCGTGCTCCAGCCATATTAAACTGTATGCCACGCCCCCAAGTACAATATGCTTTCACACTTGCATGGTTTGGGGCACTTACTGACAGCCGAGCCTTCCCCTTAGTCCACTAGGTGGTGAGCTCTTTGGGAGCATGGCTGTTTTATTCATGCTTGTATCTCCCAGCACCCAGCACCCAGCACCCAGCACCCAGCACTTAGCACTTGCCCTGGGCCTTTGCTCAGCTATTCCTTCTGCCCGAGAGGCTCTTCGCCCGGCTCGTTGCTTTGCTGGCCTTTTCTCCTCTTTCCAGCCTTTGCTGAACTGACCCAGCCTTTTATCAGAGGCTCCACCCATGTGTTGACTGAAGAGATGAGTAATTAGCTCCTGGTCTGAGCCTTACCACTTCTGTAGCAATCAGTACCTATACACACATACAATCCTTGACCAAACCCCCATGTCCACTTCTCCCAGCAGGGCCGAACACCCCAGCCAGAGTTTCGGTTGCTCAGGCAGTCGCAGGAGCCTGGGACTGGTCCAACTAGAAGGAGTGGAACAGAAGACAATGGTCTGTCTCGGTGTAGGCCCTGACCAACGCCAGCGTTGAGTTCAGAAGCCACCCCCCTCCCAAATCCCAGACGGCTGTGTATTTGTTCAGAATCTAACCTTTAGTATAGTGAGGGGGAAACATCTCACAATCACTCCTTTAAGTGTGACTACACGGGACGGCTGCTTACACTGCCCTCAAACCCTGAACCAACAGGAAGCACACACGGGCACGACAGATACTTTCGTGGTGACCAGAGCAAACAAACGGCACTTATCTGAAGCTCGCCACACTGCAAGTCAGGCTCCACATCATCTCTAGCAAGCAAAGAACAAGACGGTTTCTTATTCTAGTTTCTTTTAATAATTGTTTAAAGCCAGTAAGCAGCTACAGAGAAAATGAAAAAGTAGACAAGTCAAAAAAAAAAAAAAAGATGAGAAATACCAATGACACTTCTTTCGCTCTATTAGTGTCCCCCGCCGACATCCCATGGGAGGCCTAGCTTTCCGTGCGGTCAGGAGTTGTCTCCATTATTATGCTGAGGTGGGGAGGTGACCAGACAGCATTCAGGCCTGATGACGTCAAAGCGAATGTGTACCGGCATTGCTGAGGTCATGGTCTATACCCCGGGCCCTAGACTTGAGTGGGGGCTGGTCACTCTTTACCTCCTCCTGGCTATGCTGGATTCCATAGCCAAAGTAGATGGCAAACCCTGTTGTGGAAAAGTAGCTGTGAGAGATGCGACAGTGACCTGGAAAGGCGCAGGCAAAAGAGTTGGGATAGGACACCCAAGAAGCCTGCTCTTCCCAAGTGGATACCTACCAATCAGCATCCAGACCCCAAATCGGGCCCAGGTGCCAGTTGTCATCTGCATCATGAGGTAAACATTCACGAAGATGCTCATGAGTGGGAGGAAAGGCAAAGCGGGGACCTGGGAACAAAGCAAAATCTTCCTTGTACAAACCACAAGGTGACCTAGAAAGAGATCCCCAAGCCACTAAGGCCGGGAAAGGGGCAGTGCAACTCCCACCCAACCGTGTATATTTCACAGTGTCCATTGCTGCAGAGTTTGGGGAAACAGAACTAGAGAGGGTCAGAGAAGAAGTCTACATCAGTTATCTCCTTCCCTTCTCTTTCTTGTCCAATTAAAGAATACCCATGACCACAAGGTATCTGGAGCCTATGTTCTCCCAAGATGGGTTGGGAGGAGGAAAGACAGGTCACTTACCTTAAAGTGGAGGGGAGTAGAGCTCTGTGGCTGCCTCCAGATGATCCCAGTGATCCCAGTAATGAGCGCCAGGAGCACCGCGACCACCGCAGTCCACGTGGAGTCTCCAGAGAGCAGTGGAATTGAGTAATGCGACAGCACCACGCAAACGGCGATCACCAGCAGAGCTTCAAGAGTTGAGAAACATCAAAACCAACTCTTGACCGGGATCGTGTGAAGACATTAGGCACCCCACCCCCCAGGAGAGTCGCCCTCTATGAGTTCTCCCTCAGCCACCAGATGCCACACGCCACTCTCTCTCTCTTCCCTCATCGCCCTGAGCTCAGAGCCACCCCAGAGAAAAACTCCATTGCTCACCGAGCAGTGAGGAACAAACATAGACAACCCGGCCAGAGAGTGGGGTTGGGACGGAGTCAGGGGGACAGAGCAGTTTCGATAAGGTCATCTTTTCTGCTTGTGTCTTCTCCTCCTGCAACTCCACTTCATCTTCGTCATTGTGGATTTCGCGGTCGGGCTGATACCTGACACAAGAGCAAGAGGCAGTATTTACGAACGACCCCAAAACACTTATCATCTTCTCCCAGGCTGCTTAACCTTCCCCGTCCCCATTAAAGATGGCTCGTCTGGGCAGGGAGAGACATCCATGTTCCTTAAGGAGATGGAGGAGGGTGAAGGCAGAGGAAAGACGAGCACATCTCCGTCATTCCTCATCCAAAAATAAAACCCAAATCACAGTATGCGAGGGAGTCGGTCTCACCTGAGGATGAGAACACAAATAGACACCAGGGAGTAGGCAAGCAGGGTCCCAATCGACATGAGGTCCACGAGGTCAGTTAGTTCGAAGAGGAATGCCATTAACGCTGAAATCGACGGGCAGAAATCAAAAAATGAGACGGGATGGGCAAAGTCACGGAAGCTGAGAAAGGAAACTAGAGGAAGGGCGGAAATGACTTTTTACCTGCGATGACGCCAGAGGCCACAGTGGCCACGATGGGGGTGCGTGTGCCACTGTGGATGTGGGAAAGGACACGGAACAGGAGGCCATCCTCTGCCATGGCGTAGATCACGCGAGGCATGGGGAACATGGAGCCCACGAGGCTGGAAATAAAAACGCCCACCCAGAGTGTTATGAGGTGACTGCGATCTCTCTCCATCTTCTGCTCACGCCCTTTTCGGGGTGTTTTCTGGTCCGGAATGCTGCAACCCGAGGCTCTGCCAGCAGAGGAGGACAACACGCAATCGACACTGACCTGGTAGAAAGAGCACAGAGGGAGCCAACAGCCACAACGTAGCGGGCGGGGGACCAGCCAACATAGAGAAATGCCTCAGGCAAGGGGCTCTCTGGCTGAAGCTGGTAGTAAGGCATCATTAGCGTGAGTGCCGAAGAGACACCAAAATACGCCAAAAAGCAGACGGACAGTGAAATCACAATGCCCATGGGGATGGAACGCTGGGGATTGCGGGCCTCTTCCCCTGCAGGAAAAAGGACAGGCTGAGTCGAGGCAGCAGGCTCACTCCTCCGCCACCCCCAGTCTGCATGCAGCCTGAGCACACACTGTACCCGAGGCCCCGACAGAATGGAATGGCCATCTTACCGGTGGTAGCGATACAGTCGAAGCCAACGAATGCATAGAAACAGGTGGCTGCTCCACGGAGAAGCCCCTCGACGCCAAAGGGCATGAATCCTCCGGAGCCCAGCAGGCCCAAGCTGAAGTGCAACAAGGGATGGAGGAGGTGAGGGTGTGTGCGCCTCTGTCCCCAAGGGCTGGGCTGCCATCCCAACCCATTCCCAGCTCCCAACGGGAATCCCTCGTCAATCCCTCGGCTGGACCCCCTGCTCCCAGTAGGGGTCCCAGCTTTCCAGTTCCTGAGTGGGGAATCCCCTGACCTGTGAGTGTCATTGTATTTAGTCACGGCCAGGTTGTAGTCCTCTTCTGTGAGCTTCCAGTTGTGCAGGTCCCCCTTAATGAAGCCAGAGACGATGATGAAAACAAGAACCAAAAGGTTCGCCGCTGTGAACACTTTAGTCACCAGGGCCGACTCACTAGCCCCCAGAGCCAGCAGTCCTGTGGGAGAGAGACATTCGGGACTCAGAGTCTTCGTCCACGTGCTTCCCGGCCCACCACCTCACCTGGATCACCTCCACCAAGCCCTTCCCAGGCCTCGGCCCCCCTCCCGGTCCCCATCACTATCCCCGTCCCTGGCCTCACCAGTAAGCAACAACACAAGGCCCAAAGCAAAGAAGTCTGGGTACTCCGCGAGGACATGGGGAAAGTTCAGTGACACACTACTCCCTTGCAGCATGTGAGAGATGTGGTTCCCAATCAGGTTGTCGAAAGCTGAGCTCCAAGCCCGGGCCACACTGGCTGTACCTGGTGCAGCGGAGAGACAAACGGGTGAAGGTTCCTCCTTCCTCTCCTTCCGCCCCCCAGAACGGGCTCGTGAGAACCCCTGCTGTGCTCACCTAGTCTTAGTCTCATTCTTATAAGTCAGGTGAGCAGGACAGAGCTAAGCAGAATGAACAATTTCCCCACGCCTGGAACCCTCCCCCAACCCCCCAGCAAACACAAACATTTAGGGGTGTTGACGACGTCCTGTTAATGACTTCGTCATTCCACCCCGATTTCCTAACTCGGTTTGCTCCCTATCCCACTGTCTCACCGATGACATAGGAGAGGATGAGGTTCCAGCCAGTTGTGAAGGCCCAGAGTTCACCTACAGTGACATAGCTGTAGAGATATGCAGAACCAGACCGGGGGACCCGGGCCCCAAACTCCGCATAGCACAGCCCGGCCAACACAGAAGACAGGGCAGCCACCAAAAAGCAAAGCACAATGGATGGTCCTGCTTTGTCTTTGGCCACCTCGCCAGCCAGGACATACACGCCTGCACCTAATGTGCTGCCCACACCCAGGGCCACTAGATCCAGAGTATTCAGACATCGGACCAGGCGACTGTCAGCCATGCCTGGCTCCAGTTTCCGTCTGCGTAACAGCTTTCGACCAAATCTGCGAAGTGCCTGACACGCCATTCTATCTGGAATTGAAGAGGATGCTAGGATCTGGTGAAAAACAAGACAAAAAAAAGCTCTTTAGGGCTCATTGACCCCTGGGCTCCAAGAATGAATTACAATACCCACTCCGCCAAGGCGCTAAGGCGCTAAGGCGCTAAGGCGGGGTGGGGAGGAGACCCCTGAAGAAACAAAGGCAAGTCACTTCTCCCCTAGCCTCAATTTCTTCCCACACAGGTAGGAATAAGAAAACCTCCCAGGCCTGTGGAAGGACTAATTTCAGAAAAGGCACCTGGAAGCCCCCTCGAGCGGGTACGGAGCCCGGACACCTCGGAGGCGCTGTGCACGACCCGTCTCTTCTTCCTCTAGCGCGGAAACTGTGTGTGTGTGTGTGTGTGTGTGTGTGTGTGTGTGTGTGTGTTTTCTTTCTCCAGTGTTTGTATATTCTAAATAACACCAGCTGGCTAGAAATACCCT